CTGGGTAAGAACTGCATGCTGAAAGTAGGTAAAAGTACAATTCAGTCCTAACAGGAGGATGTGATAGTATCATGGAAGTCAAATGAGAGAGAATGCTAAGTGAGAGAGGTGAGAGCTAGGATACATGGTGAAGGAGAAGAATTCAGGTAACTATCCATGTGTGATTCACCCACTACTCATGCCAGATGAAGACATGATGCAAGCTAAGCGAAGGAACTTTCCATTGGAGAAGTGATGGCAATGGTTTGATTAAGAGTAGGATATAAGGAAGTGATAATAATATCAGAGGATGGCTCTGATCTCTCTGGACACACCCCCAAATACAATGGTGATCAGTCAGGTGATTATAATCAATTACCCAATCAATTTATTCTTAGGGTAGATTCTAGAGTTAGACCTCAATGCTGACTTGGGCTCTGTCCTTTCCTTGTTACGTGACTTTTGCCAAATATTTAATCTAATTTTTCAGTTTCTTCATGTGTTCATGTGTAACATGAATGTTTAGAGCATGTTACAAAATAACAAATGGTTATCACTTTTCCTTTATGCCTTAAAAAAGTTGCACTTTGGGGGCTGGAGTGATAGCACAGCAGGAAGGGTGTTTGCCTTGCACATGGCTTTCCCAGATTCAATTCTCAGTATTCCATATGGTCCCCTGAGCACCACGAGGAGTAATTCGTGAGTGCAGAGCCAGGAGTAACCCCTGTACATCGCCGAGTGTGACCGAAAAAGCAAAAAAAAAAAAAAGACTTTTTCAACATAATATGTATTAATTTTATAATTTAAAAACTCCAAAAGAAACAATTTGTGCTTTCTGTAAACATGCAGCATTATTAGTTGCCATGTCTATTTGCTCGAGTAGGGCGTTTGCCTTGCACGCAGCCAACATGGCCGACCAGAGTTCGATTCCTCCGCCCCTCTTGGAGAGCCCGGCAAGCTACCGAGAGTATTCGATATGCCAGACACAGTAACAACAAAATCTCCAATGGAGACATTACTGGGCCCGCTCGAGCAAATCGATGATCAATGGGAGGGCCATGTCTATAAAGAATTTTAATGAGAGGAATTGGTTCAGGAAATAGATATTCTTATTTTTCCTTTGTTGGAAGTCACAAAACACACTGAGCACTGAAGGGCACTAAAGGCTTGGGCTGTGTGGACTGTGTGGCTCCAAGCTGGAAAGTTAATAATCTCTGCTACAAAGACTTCATAATTATTGAGAAGGAATTCTAAACAATGAACAAGACACACCATGTTAGAAAGGGTCATATTTACATTATAGGTTAAATAGACTAAGTGATCCTTGGGCAGGAGGGCTGGGATCATGAATGACCCTGGAAGATGACAGCCTCCTAATACTTACTATTGTCTCAGCGCTTATTGGCCTAAGAAAATGATCAGGAGATAGGAGCTGAGAATACGGAATGGTTGATTTACTAGGAAAAGAATCTCCTTAATGGCTCTAGCTTCCAGTAAACTCAACAGCTGTGCGTCAAAAAGTTCAGGTGATAGAAAGTTCTTGTCTCTTTACAACTGGAAAATGCAGCTCTCAAATGAACTCCATTTTGGTTCTGTTCAATTGTTTTTTGTGTATCAATTTAGAGCTTATAAAACTGAAAAATGAGAATATATAAACTGTTTAACTTTAGGTCCATTTTCGGTTTGAATGTTTTTCAATTTGGCAAGGGCTTAAATAATGCCTTTTCACTGGTTAAGTCTTAAGTCAAGTGTTTTTTTAATTAGGGGGTGGGGTCATATAAACTGATGCTCAGAGTTTACTTCTGACTCTGTGCTCAGGGCTTACTCTTATTGGTGCTCAGGGGAGTAAACAGGGGTCTGATATGAGCAAGGCAAGCATTTACCCTTATATTATTTTGCTGGCTCCCTGAGTGGAGCTTTTATGTTTTGTGTTGTTTTGTTTCTTTTTGTAAATATCCACAGTAATTCTTATGTGGCTAAACAGAAGACTCCACAAAGTCAAATAAACAATTATGTGTGAAAGCAAAGTCTTGATCAGTTATATTTTTAATGAGAATCCCCCTCCCAAAATCAGTACCAAAGTTTTAATCTCATCCTATTAAAATTACATGTGAATTTACATGTCTCTAATTTCATTGCGATCATTCCTAAAAAGTGATTTAGCACTTAATATTGCTGAATTTAAGCTCTCATTTTTATGAGATTGATAAACAAACCAGAAATATTAAAGGCAAACAAAGTCAAAGGCAGAAGTTGTGTGCTGAAGAGATATAGTACAGCTAGCAGAGGACTTGCTTTCTGAATTCCCAGCCCAGATTCAGACCCTGGTATCTCATATGATGTTCTAGTCCTTCCAGGAGTGAACCTGAGAGCCAGGAGTAAGTCCTGAGCAATGCCAGTTATGGCCCCCAATCCAAACACCAACCAATCAAACAAAAACCTAAAATAACAAGCACACACACACATGTACACACACACACACACACACACACACACAAACAGCAATGGTAATATGTGATGACAAGACCTCAAGTTAAGTATTACAAATTGTACCGTGGAATAAAATTGTACCATGGAATATAAATATCTTAAAGCTGATCTCAAAAAATATAAAATATCTACCTTCAGAATAAACATAGAAAAGAGTCTTTAGAGTCAAGTGGAAATTTTTCACTTCAATGTATTTGGAGAAAGGAAGCATATTTATGCTACATGGGGGGTACTGGGCAAATGGAGGGGAAAACAGAAAAGAAACCTTCATTTTTAAGAAAAGGAAGGAACAATGACATCATCCTTATTGAAACTCATCCTGTTCCTATCTTATGGTATTAGATAATAGATGGACTTTTCCAGAGTCACAAAACAATGGGTGAGGAAGTAGCATTTTCTCTGAGTCTTTACTATTTCACTCATGCAGTCAACTAACAAACGTGTATTAGACATCTATCTTATGCTAATGGCTAGGGGATAAATCACTGAATGAAGAAATACATAATTCCGTCCTTGAGAATTCTGAGCTTGACTAGGAGAGAGGAATGGTGATAAGGTATGATACAAACCATTCCAAAATTACAATAGTAGCAACTGCTAAAAATAGAATTGCAGGGGGCTGTAGTGATAACACAGTGGGTAGGGCGTTTGCCTTGCACACGGCCAACCCAGGTTCGATTCCTAGCATCCCATATGGTCCCCTGAACATGGCCAGGAGTAATTCCCGAGTGCAGAGCCAGAAGTAACCCCTGAGCATTGCCGGGTGTGCTGCAAAATAAATAAATAAATAAAATAGAATTGCAAATGGTGCAAGGAAACTTATAATAAAATGTCTACTCAGAGAGATGAAAGGAAATGGTACTCCTACATAGAACCAGGAGTAGGCTGGATAAAGGGAGAAGGAAAAGATGTTGACACTCAGAAGATTCTGTGCAGGAAGAAAATATTGTATGTATAAGGAATCCAAAGAAGGCACTCAGTAGGAGAGTAGAAGAGGCTAGAAGGAAAACAGAATATGGTGAGTGGGGGGAGGAGTTACATATATCTTAAAGAAAGTATATTTTATTCTCTATCTCCAGTGCAGTGGAAAGCCATTAAATGATTTTACTCAGACGGTTGGGTTGCTATAATCAAGTTTGCATTGTGAAACTACCCTTTGTTCTGATTTTAGAAACCAAGAGACAGGGCCCCAAATGACCTAACCTCAGATGAGGTATTGGTAGATTCTCACTCAGGGGATGGCAGCGCCAAGGTCAAGGAAGATGCTGAGGAAAGGATGAGAAGCAGAGTTTTAACTCAATCTGCTTGCATCACTAAAGCGGCTCCAACTAGGCTGTTGGGGCACAAAAACCGGGAGCCAGTCTTTTTGATTACACTGCTTGTTTCTAGAACTGGAAAATGACGGTGCCCTCCCCATAAAAAAAATCAATCAAAAGCAGCTCTGTGCTGAATGGGACATTATTGACAAGACATAAAGTTTCAGGATCAAACAAGGCAACTCTTTGATCCATAGCAAGACTTTAACTGGAGATTATTGGAAGGGCTCTTTGCCTGTATTCCCAGTAAGTCTGTCTCCTGGCCTCTGGCCTCTATAAGCAAACAATCATTGCGCAATGTCAGGAAGAACTCCCAACCAAAGGTTGTAAAGGACCAGCATCTATGTTTTTGAGAACCATCAATTAGGATGAGCTTATAATTCCCAAAAGCAGGTAGGAAAGAGAAAGGGGTTTCGGTTAATAACTAATGTGGAGGTTAGGAAGAAGTCAGGCTTATTTGGGGGCAAACCTGCTCACTCTAGCAAAGAGCTGGAACTTAATCCTGCCCCACTGTTCCTCCTCCTGCAGGGAAGAGACTGTTTTCTCTCTACACCGGCAGCACTGGCAGCACGCTGACTTCAGGCCGGTGGTATTTTCATCTTTTCTGCCTATTCAATACATTGTGAAGATGACATATTCCCTCTGGGGAAAGGCTGATCATTTCCAGGGAGTCACGGAATCACTTTGAAAGAGACCCTTTAAAAATAGGAGACCCCCACCCTTCTCCAAATAGGAACCCTCCACCCTTCTCCCAGCTCTTCTGAAAGGGATCTTAGATATAAGGAATCCGAATCTGCATTTTAATAAGACACTGTCAGGGGAAACTGATGCACATGAGTGTTCAATGGGGGAAACTTCTGCACTCCGACCTAGTGTAAGAAAAAACATTTGGCACGTAACCACGCCTGTATAACTGAAGTTATGTATAACTGAAGCAAGAGTTTAATGAAGCAATACTTAAATATTTCCTTGGGGGTATGCTGGGGGAACATATGCTCAAAACTCATTCGATTTCTGCCTTCCACTCATGAGTGGCTTTAGGCAGCCGGAAAAAAACAAACTCCAAAGCCCTTAGGAGGAGTCTAAGAGAGGTGCGGGCGAGGGGGTTCGACGCCAGTGCAGAGGGGGGCTGCAGTGGGGGAAAGCACGTCCCCTTTCTGGGCTCGGCCACTTTCTGAAACGTGTGCACGGAGGAGTCACTTCGGAGGAAGCACGCGGAGCTGGAAGGCGGCGACGAGGGGCAGAGGAAAGTTTGCCCAAAGCACGGGAGGGGCCAGTCTCGGGGACGTGATTGGCAGTTCGCAGGGAGTCGGGGCTGGAAGCGGCCGAGAGGGAGAAGGCTCCGGGCCGCGCGAGGTCCTGCCCAGCTGTTGGCGAGAAGTTTCCTGTTCCCCCCGCGGCGCCCGGGTGCAGCGGAGTGAGTCACTCGCGCGCCCCGACCGACGACACCCCCGTGCGCGCACCCGCCCGGGGACGGAGCCGGCCGTCCCGCGCAGCTCCCCTCGGCCGCCGGGGCCCTGCCCAGCCTCCGCCGGCCTCCAGGCCCCCTCGGCGCCCGCCCGCCCGCCGCCACATCTGGCCGCACCTCTGCCCGGCCGGCCCGGCGCGGGGTCCCGAGCGAGGAGCGCTGCCGGGGCTCGGGACTCGGTCTATGCGGAGCAGCGGGGGCTGCCATGGGTCGGGGGCTGCTCCGGGGCCTGTGGCCGCTGCACCTCGTCCTGTGGATGCGCATCGCCAGTACGATCTCCCCGCACGTTCAGAAGTCGGGTGAGTGCTGCTTCCCCCCTCTAATCCCCCAGACCCACCAACCCAGGCTTGGAGGAGGGGAGGGTGTGCGGCGGTGAGTGTGTGGGTGGGTGGGGGGACGACGACACCGGGGCTCCCCGCCCCTAAGTCACGCTTGACAGGAGACGGGGGAGAGCGATCAGCGCCCGAGAAGACCCCGAAAAGTTGCCCCCCGGGACAGTGGGCACCGCGCACCCCTCCACCCGTGGACCCCGCGAGCCGCCCCGGGCTGCGAGGCTCCTCCGGGAGGACAGAGGAGGCAAAGTTAGAGGCGATCGGGGCGCGGGGCGCGCTCGGCCCCTCCGAGCAGCGGGCAGGAAAAGGCGTCGTGCCGGCCGCCTTCGGGCGCACCCCTACCCCCGGAAAGGGAAGTTTGAGAAGTTGGTGTATGCGAACGCGGCGGCGGAGCAGCGGTTTGCACCCGCCAGGCCCCCTCCCCCCGAAAGCCCCGGGCGCACCTGGAGCCACCCCGGCCCGCCGCGATGCTGCAAGTCCAGCCCGGGTGCGGCCCAGCCGGCCCCGCTCCATACGCCAAAGGGCAGGGCGCCGCGCGCCGGGGAAGGGCTGCACGTTTTTCCCCCAGGCCGGCTTCTTGGCCCGGAATCCGGGGATCCGAGTCTCCAAAAAGGAAACAATTTCCCAAGGAATGTTATCTGGCCCCACGGCCCACTTGGCACGGCCGAGCCAAGAGTGGAGATGGTCAGGTGGCAGGGGGGACTTAGGGGCCCAACGCCCACTCGGTGCTGAGCGTCTGCACACCCTGTCAGCCGGGACACCGGGGGCTCTGCGAAGGTCCTTTGATAGAAACCCAAGGATAAAACTCCTAAACCCTGTGCCCACCTGATTTCTATCTTCAGAGGCTCCTGAGAGGAAGCGAGGGGGAGGGGTGCAGGAAGTGAGTTTTTCAGGGTTAATGATGCAAAGAACAGACACCCCATCCAGCCCACGAGTGCCTGCGTTGAAGTTAGAATGGTTTGTGCCTGTGATCCTGATTATTCACTGTCTGCAGTTCTGTGTACCTGAGTGTTTGTCCCACTGTGAAGCCATCAGTTTCCTTATCTGTAAAATTGGGTAACGGAGGAGGGATGGGTCACACCCGGCTGGTGTTCAGGGCTTACTCCTGACTCTGTGCTCAGAGGATTGGAGTACCAAATGTTCCAGGGATCCAGCCTTGTCGGCCGCGTGCAAGGCAAGCATTTTGCCACCTTTCTGGCCTCTAGAACAGGATCATTTGACAGTTCCTTTACAATCTTTAAGCATCCTGGTCCTCCTTCTCCCTCTTTGGTGACGTGAAGTTACTCATGTTTAAGTTTGGGATGAAATGTGAAGGATTGATAGCCCACTTTTGCCAGGGCTGCAGACTGTCTCCACCTTTGGTTCTAAATGGTACTTCTCAGTACCATTGAAGACTTTTTAAAAACTCTTTTCTATTGAAAGATCATGGAGACAGGAGGTATTAAAATGGAATGAGGAAGGACTACTGAAAACAAAAAATCCTAATACAAAATTTCAAGTTCCACAGTTGAGTAAAATCTGTTTCTTCCTGGAATATTTTCTTTCTTTCCTTTTTTTCTCTTTGTTTTTGGGCAACACCCGGCAGTGCTCAGGCTTAATCTTGACTCTGTGCACAGGAATCACTCCTGGCAGGCTCAGAGAACCATATGGGTTGTTGAGGATTGAACCTGGGTCAGCTTCGTTCATGGAAAACTCTTTAAGAGCTGCTCCTGTCGCTCTGACCCCTCTTCTGGGATGTTTTCTTTCCCTGGTAATATCAGCAAGTGTTTTACCTGTCTCTGATAGGACTCCAGACTCCTAGGAGTGAAGTTACATTTTACTAACAAATATTTTTTAATGGCGTCCATAATTTTCTATGCATATTAAAATTTATGAGAACTTTTGCATCACATTATGAAAGGAAATTAGGGAGCCTGATTTTCCTAGGGTTTGTTTACAGGGGTAAGATTTATGATTTGCAATTCCAGACTCAATAGTTCATGAGTCAGTTTCATTTCATCTGTATACACACTTTTAAACAATTAGCTTAAAAGCCTAGTGACTTTTTATTTGGGCTTTTAAGCAGGTTTACAAAATGCACAAAATCCTTGTCTTTATGGAATGAAAGATTCCAAATGGTTGAATTTAGAAATCATTTTGAGTTTGCATTCATTTTAAGTTTTTGAAGCTGGTTGGAAGTAAAAGGTAGCTATAATGAAGACAGGAAACCTGATCCATCCATTTGCATTTTGATTTTCCATGGTTTCAGGGTCTTTCTGACATAATTGGTAAACTGTCAAAACATTTTACAAGACATTTTCATAAGATATGAGGAAATGAGAATGTTTATAACATCCTGTTAGGTTACCTAAAAATACTGTTTTCTGTTTAGTATATAGAAAATTGGACAAAAGGTATCAGCATATGAATAAACTTCACTAAGAAATAATTTTTAAATATTGGGTTTGATGTAATAGATTCACATTTTTAATGCTCAAAAGCTACTCTTGTGGGGAAAATGTTAAATGTGGGGAAAAAAACACTTTATTTTCAGACTTGAAAATAAAGTATTTGTCTTTTATTTTTCAAATACTTAAAAAGAGATTATTGTTGAGGACTACGTACTGTTAAAAGTCAGTAAGGATAAATTTCTTTCCTCATCATGTTAATGATCTACTTATTTTGTCTAGGGATTAGAAATCTCTAGACCCATCTTTTGATCTTTGTTCCATTTGCTTTTGTTCCCAGAAAGCACATTCTCACCTCTAGGTCACTTCATTTAATAATATCATAGTTTTGACCAATTATGGTTCATACAAAATACTCATCAGCTTTGGAATGTATTTATTGCCTTCATTTAAGACCCTGGTTTGATGAGCCCTCATTGTCTATGTAGTAAACTAGCTGCTACTCCTTCCTTCCTTCCTTCCTTCCTTCCTTCCTTCCTTCCTTCCTTCCTTCCTTCCTTCCTTCCTTCCCTCTCTCCCTCCCTTCCTCTCTCCCTCCCTCCCTTCTTTCCTTCTTTCTTCCTTCCTCCTGCCCTCCTGTCTCTTCTTCTCACATACCCTTCCTCCTTCCCTTTCTTCTTTCTTTCTTCTTCCTCGGTGTATGTGTGTGTGTGGGGGGAGTGGTGGTGGTGGTAAATCTACCGCAACTCATGAATTACTCCTGTCTCTTTCGCTGGGATCACTTCTGGTGGGCTTTGGGGGGCCATATAGGGTGCCAGGAAATGAACTTGCATTGACTGTATGCCAGGAAAGTGCCTTACCTGCTATCCTATCTTTCTCACCCCCTCCCCCTGCTACATATTTTGTACTTAACTTTGCCAATTTCCAGCAAAAGTCTTGATATTTTAATCCTGTTTTTCCAATAAAGAATAAAAGTTCATAGATGCCATTTTAAAAAGTGGTCATTGCTCATTAGCAATGGTGTTTTTTGGGTTTTTCTTCTACCACCAACAGGATGCACAGTCCTGGCCTCATGTTCTGATGAGTCAGACAAGCCTTTTGCCCACACTGAATGTAACATGTGCATGGTATAAGAGGGAAAAAAAGAATACATATTTTAACAGCGCTTAAAGAATAATTGAATACTGGTGACTTATATTCTAGAACCCTCGCCCCCTTTCAAAAATTCATTTTGTGCCAAATATACTAGAAGGGGGTGCATGTTGAAAGTTTTCCTTCTCAATCCCCCTATTCTCCCTCTGAACAGATTGTTTTCCATGAATCTCGTCTTTCTACTTGCTTTGTATCATATCCCTTGTCAAACACCTTAATTCTCAATTCTGCAGGCTGCATGGTGAATGCACTGATACGCAAAGTACAAGCAGTGGGATCCAAGCTGCCCATTTGAAGGTTCTGTCGGTTACTGCCTTACTCTCGTCCTCAGTACCTTCCCTCACCTGAAAAATGAGTCTTAGGGAGTCCTGGTGAGGGTTAAATCAAATAATGCTTCAGCATGTTTTAACAGTGTTGCTGCATAACAACTCCTCAGTAAATATCAGCTTCTGTTATTATGGTTAAGTCTTTAATCACTGCTCCAGAGGCCAGTGATAGGTCTGATTCTGCAGCCTCCTGCCCTGCAAGTTCACTCCACAGCTATCATCCGGCAGACACGCCCTGCACACGGTGTAGGCAGCTGTGCCTCATTCATACTCTATCGGTTCCCTGTTCTGACTCCTGCTACCTGGCTAAATTTTGCTCCTTTTTATGACTTAACTCAAGTGGCACCATAAGGAAACATGTTTGAATGCTACCACTTGAACCAATTGTCCCGTTTTGGTACAGGCTATTTTCTTAGCTGATCAAAACAGTAAGCCTGAGTTCGAGCATTATGCACATCCTCCTGTTCCATTAGACCTTTCACTCTCCAAAACCAGGAGTGTGTCATCATTTCTTTATCTTCAGGTACTCCCATGGTTCCCAGCATACCAATTAGCCCCGAGGAAATTCTGAGCTGAGCCTCCAGTTCTGCTCACTAGTTACTATGAACAAGTTGAATATTTGAGCAAAGTGGTAGGCAGTGTTTATGGGGACTGTGGTCTGAATGTGAAGGTCTTTTAGTGTTTATTTTTTTCCTATTGTTAAGGTGAGCTGGAGTGATAGCACAGCATTTAGGATATTTGCCTTGCACGCGGCCAACCCCAGTTTGATTCTTCCACCCCTCTTGAAGAGCCTGGCAAGCTACCGAAAGTATCCTGCCCCCATGAGAGAGCCTGGCAGCTCCCTGTGGCATATTCGATATGCCACACACAGTAACAAGTCTCACAATGGAGATGTTACTGATGCCCATTATTAGATGAATAATGGAAGGACAGTGCTACAGTGCTACAGTGTTAAGATTCAGGAAGGTCTATTTGGTGCCAGAAATTAAACCATACTCTCTATCACTTGAACCTTTTCCTGGCCCCTATCTATTTTATTTTATTTTTTAAGTGCGGGGGTGGAGTGGGGGTGGGGGAGCAAGTCCAGGTCTCACCTGGCAAT